CTGACTGCACGGATGGCGTAGTGGTGTAAGCGGTCGCCACGCCGCTTAGTACTACGCTGAGTGTTATGGGTCCGATCCCCACATGGGACGACACTTTGTGTGACCCACAAATTGTTGATCTGAGTCTGGGTGTTCTTTGTGTTTCATGTATGTTTGTAAAGTCCCTCGCGACACAGAATATACTTACCCCTAACGCCAGGGCTAAGGAAAAAGGGAGCGGGAGCTATCGTCGTGGAAACATCATATCCCCCGGCTTCTGCATCAATGCAATGGCGCGCCCCGGGACCAGGAGATCCGAAGGGATTTCTGCCCTTTCACCAAAAAAGGGCGGCAGAAAATATAGGTCAAGGAAGTTAGACTAAAAGCTAAACAGGACAGCGATGGCAATAGCTAAATGAGGCTGTCTTTGTTTATCAATAATATGTCTTTTGATTGGAGGGGCTACTGCGACAGGGATACCACAAGACAAGTAAGCTCAAGCTACCGTGGGAGAGTCATGCTTTGGCAAATTGACCGGAGTGACACCACGGCTTCATAGAAAACCGGTTAAGTTAAGAAATTCTTTTTTTGCTTTTCAACAAGTGAGTGAGGATACCGGAGTCAAATCTTTCCACCTCCTGATACTGCGTGGAGGGGAGAGCGATTTGGGGATACTCATAGGGTGTGAACGCATTTGTGACTCTTAAGTTGCAGGTGTCTATGCGCGGCCGTAGTCACTTACCATCAGGTGAACCGTCTGATCGTTTGCCCATCAATCATCATCATCAACAGCCTATAATAGTCCACTGCTGGACATAGACCTCTCCTTAGAAAAGAGGTTTTGGCCTATTATTTGCTCCTTTACCCGCTAGAGCAAAAAAAAAACACTATTTCCAAATATCAACCGTTAGACTGGAATCCTGCATATTTGATGACACAGCCTGGTCAAAAGATCCTCGTTATGTTTTGAATAAAAAAACTGCTAAAAAAGAAATCACAATGGTAGGCGAATAGTCATGTTCACATACGGGTACGTACAATAATAATTATCATAATATTAAAGCAGGTGTTGGAACCTCATATGGCTGGTCTACTTTCTTTATTTATATCATACTAGCTTTTGCCTGCGGCTCCGCCCGCGTGTGTGTGGGATATGGCGATAAAAGTAGCCTGCATCACTCACTAAAAACGTAGCTTTTCATTGGTAAAAGAATTTTTAAAATTGGCTTAGTGGTTAAAGCGTAACATACAAACAAACAAACTCACTTTCATATTTAAAATATAAGTATGGAAATATGGATATCCCTTAGGCAGGGCTGAAGGCGTCCACAGCGACCCTCCGCTCCACGTCTGGCAGATTACGATAGCTAATACTCATATTATTAATTGATGGTTGGGATATCCCGCGAGATTCGAAATAAGTCTTTATGTGTCAATTTAAAAAAAAAAATTAGTTTAAAAACCTTAAAAACCACGCTTTTGTAACTAGCCGAACTAAAAAGTAGAAAATAAAATGTATAAGTTCAAAAAGAAAAATCATTTTATCGTAAAAAACTACCCAGGATAACAGCACTGCAAAGAGAAGGAAAACTTGACACAAACCCTATACCAACCCGTCTGGCCAGCGTGGTATAGTAGGCCAAAACCTCCTTTCTAAGGAGAGGTCTATGTCCAGCAGTGGACTAGTAAAGGCTATTAATGATGATCATAAAAATGTGTGTGATGTTATATTATAAAATATCTGGAAAAGCACCCCACGCTTTTTAGATCGGCTAGTTACAAAAGCGTGTTTGTTTGAACTATTTTTTTTGCTCTTTTAGTAATTGATGACGCTTATTTTCTCATTAAGACCAAAAAGTAACAAGTAGGCAAGTCACAGCTCACGCCTTTTAGTACGCAGCAAGGTTCAATTTCATTTGACGTTTTTCATGTGAGTCAAAATCAGGTTGGAAGATTCCGTTACATACATATCATCAACAGCCTTTAATAGTCCACTGCTGGACATAAGCCTCTCCTTAGAAAGGAAGTTTTGGCCTACTATACCACGCTGGCCAGACAGGTTGGTATAGGGTTTGTGTCAAGTTTTCCTTCTTTCTGCAGTGCTGTTGTTCTGCGTAGTTTTTTCCCTTAGTCGGCTCTTACAACACCCACGGGATGAATAGGGGTGGTGACACTCTGTATTCTTAATCCGTCACCACACGGACCAAATACATATATACCAAGCTAATAAAAGCGTGTTAATGTCTATAATTTTTTCATAATGCCTGGCCTTTTGGTCTATTGTTAAGTGACCCTGAGTCCGAAGCTAAAGCTCGTGGATGCGATTTTCAACCGGTAGAAATATTTGTGTGATGAGCACGATCATTTGTTCTGTGTCTGTGTGTATTTAGTACTAAATAAGGATGTTTATCAACAGTCTGGTTAACATAGTACAGGCTCAGTCTAATTTTTGATCAACCAAAAAAAATTCAAGCATTTTATCTTTAAATATGTATGTTCTATAAACAATAAATATTCTTAAAATGTGACATTTATTGTAATAATCGTTTATTTGTATGAAACTTTCCTGCTTATATACTTTTTATCGACCCCAATTTCTCAGTAAAATTGTATCAAGGCGGCTCGTTACCAGCGCCATTATATTGCTACTACGTTATTACTTAAATTTCCATTTTTTTTCTTATCAACCTTTATACTCAAGGGTATATGTCGTGGTCACTTAGAGAAATCCGAGATTTTGTATAATGACGCAATGTTTTATAAAATTATGCGTAGTTGTACAGTCTATTTATACGATCAACAGGGCCAGTTTAAAAGTACCCGTTCACATATAAACATCTGTGTATACAGTCTCCAGTCATACAGCACTTTTGATGAATTCTTTGGACATAGCTGAGGAGTCTTCTGCTTGCTGGAAAACAAGTAGAATATACTAATATTCTTTCGCAGATGATGTTCACAAATATCTAAAGATGTGTAGCGGGTAACAAAGATCTAAAGATTTCTTTTCTTCAAAGATTAAGAGGTTCTATTTGATCTGAAGCTGTAAACAGTATACCCATCTATGTGTATAGTAAAAACACATACAAAGACTTACCAAATTGGCAGTCCCAGTCGCAATATACGTATAACCATGATTATTTTGTTTATTTCTGATGACCTATTATCCTGAATTCTTCCAGAATAACCATAATTTCTTCGATTGAGAATACGGAGTGTCACCACCCCTATTTATCCCGTGGGTGTCGTAAGATCCCACTAATGGAGCAAAATACGCAGGACAACAGCACTTCTAAGAGAAGGAAAACTTCAAAACAAATCCTATACGAACCCGTCTGGCCAGCGTGGTACAGTAGGCCAAAACTTCCTTTCTAAGGGGAGGCCTATGTCCAGCAGTGGACTATTAAAGGCTGTTGATGATGATGAGGATGATGAAACATAATTTTACATTGTCAATAACATCATAATCCTGATCATCAGCATCTCACTCAAACGAATTTTATTTTACTAAACTTCAAAGAGACAAATATTAAATCCCGGTATTTTTAATTTTCACGTATATTCCATTCTCCCTGCAACATATCCTAGGCAACCGTCCCCTATATGATACAAAAATACTTGTTGTAATGATAATTTTATTGGTGCCTCTCTTTGATGTCGTCAAGGTTTTTTGTTCAAAAGGCAGTTCAAAGAGTGCAATATGTGTTTAATGGCAGGTAAATGTATCGTTATGGTAGATATTCGTAAAATAAATTGGGAGAGCAGTATTTCTCAAAAGAAATGTCGTAGAAGGCTTTTTGTGAAATAGGTTGGCTCATTATTTTCTTCACTCAGCAGTACTTTTGACAAGGATCAACATTGCTTTGACCTGGAAATCTTATTTAGGTAAGGATTTAGTGTGAAAAATATTGAAGATTCTTTTCGTGCTAAATGGTCATATGGCTGTACTATTAAGAGCTCAACAATGCTTTTGATTTTCAATACTACCCACACTTGGTCATATTTTTAACCAACTTTAAAAAAAATAAGTTCTCGATTCGGTTGCACTTTTTTTTATTTTTGTTATTTATGAGCTCCGTTATTAATAAACCGATTTGAAAAATGACTTCTTTTTATTTAGAAGGTTAAACTTCCCATATGAGGCAATTTAAATTAAACGGTGGCAAATTACGGAATGTAGAATACGTACATATAGGTGCATTAAGGTAGGGTTTTTTTTTTTAAATTTAGTAATTCACACGCAGTTTGGGTATTTGTCCACACTTGGTTAATTGTATGCTAAAAGTATATTGTAGCATGAACAGTGAACTGTGAATACACCACAGTGAATTGCATTAGCAATCAGATAAAAAATGGGTTTCATTGATTAAATCCGTGTGGGGATGGATTAAGAATACAGAGTGTCACCTCCTCTATTCATTCCGTGGGTGTCGTAAGAGCCGACTAAGGGAGCAAACTACGCAGGATAACAGCATTGCAAAGAGAAGGAAATCTTGAAACGAACCCTGTTCCAACCCGTCTGGCTAGCGTGGTATAGTAGGCCAAAAACTACTTTCTAAAGAGTGGCCTATGTCCAGCAGTGGCCTACTAAAGGCTGTTGATGATAATGATTGATAAAATTAAATGATGTACTGGTAGAGCTATGTGTTGTATAGAGACTATTTGTTTCTGAAACATCGATGCATCTCTAACGGGTCAAATACGTGACCATTAAAATGAACGCATAATTTGACAATAAAAACAAACAATACGTTGAACGCGGAAGTCGATAGCGTGTCCTTAATGACTGCCGAATTATTATGTTACTAATTTAACTTCCACCATTTAATGTTACAAGTTCTGAACGTGCTTCCGCAAATTTAAGTTTTTAAGGTTTATGTCACTTTTCCGTTGAGCCGCCGTGTTGTACATTTATATTAATGTAGAAAATTACACGATTTAACTGAAATTTCTGAGTACTATAGTTTTTCTTTCAATGAAAGAAACGAAAATAAGTAAAAAATGAAATTTGAAATGTTTCGTCACAACCGGGTTAACTGTATCGCACCCAACTGAACCTTAAAAAAGAAACCTCCGAGAGCCGCTGCAGACCTTGGACGGTACTGTTTCTGGCCTACTTCTGGCAGGGTAAAGTGCAGCTCATATCCACTAATCGGAACTTGGTCGTGCTTCTCCTCTTTTTCTGTAGGCACCATCACCTCCTCACAATACAAAATATGAAGTACTTCTTGACAGTTTCCATGACATGACATGGAGCATGGATACATGGATTCGCAATAAAGGTATCTACTAAAGCTGAAACAGGCTGTCGCTTCGCCTGACACAGCCACAATTGTAACGCAAATATTGTACAGTGCCCTACGCTAGTATTCCTTCAAAAAAAGATATGGGTAGCACCATAAAGAACTATATCCCCAAAGAAGTTACTTCCATAGTTAGACAAGAATATTATGGGGTTTTCAATCAGTATTTCAGGGTTTTCAAACTATAGAGGAACAGTTATTATAACGCTCCAACAGAAAAGGAAGATCCTCTGACCAGGCGAGCATGTCTTTCGGTTGATTTTAGGAAGTTCCTTAACTAATCAATGCGAAAACTGTATTCGTTTGATGGTACTTAATTAAGCCTCTATTTCTTTGATGTGGAAGTGGCCAGAAAACAATTTATTTTAATAAGCTTTTAAACTCCGTGTGGTGACGGATTAAGAATACAGAGTGTCACCACGCCTTTTCATCCCATGGGTGTCGTAAGAGCCGACTAAGGGAGCAAACTACGCATTACAACAGCACTGGAAAGAGAAGGAAAACTTGACACAAACCCTATACCAACCCGTCTGGCAGCGTTTTATAGTAGGCCAAAACCTACTTTCTAAGGAGAGGCTTATGTCCAGCAGTGGACTGTTAAAGGCTGTTGATGATGATAATGATAAACTCTTTATAAGAAGTAGCCTCCGCTACTTGTAAGTACCAGCCCTAGCTCCAAGAGATTTTGAAAGCCACGGTATATAACAAGTACGCACAAGTACCAAGTACACTCACGTACAGTAGTTAAACTAATTACAATACAGGTGGTATGCAGCATCAAAACACACAGTAAAGAGCACACGCGCCACTAACTTGTTCCCTTACTAAGTTTTGGATCGCTTCAGGTTTGTGGGTGGTGCAAGTCACAAGTTTGTGGCGTTGGATATATGAATTGGTAAATTGGCAATCTATACTAATATTATAAAGCTGAAGAGTTTGTTTGTTTGTTTGTTTGTTTGTTTGAACGCGCTAATCTCAGGAACTACTGGTCCGATTTGAAAAATTCTTTCAGTGTTAGATAGCCCATTTATCGAGGAAGGCTATAGGCTATATATCATTACGCTAAGACCAATAGGAGCGGAGCACCAATGAAGAATGTTTCAAAAACGGAGAAAATTTATTACTATTGAGAGACGCAGACGAAGTTGCGCGGTTCAGCTAGTTAAATATATTGATTACAATATTTTTAAAAGATAATCGGTCACGTGTATAATTTGGGGATGATGCCCAACTAGCTTCAGATCCTAAGGGGAAACAGACACTGCTCTTATATTGATTAAAACATCCACTTGTAACTAATACCTCACTAGAAATATCTTGGAAGTAAATTTTTACCTAATTTAACTCTTCTTTACTTCTACTACTAAACTCTCTTTTTTATGATATAGGGAGCAAATAAGGAGACGGGTCACCCGATGGAAAGTGTCTACTGCCGCCCTTTAATGCTAGCAACTTAGGGAGTCCCCAGGCCTTTAATGTAGGAGTACGCTCTTTTCTTGAAGTTTTGAAGGTGGTATCGGAAATACTTTTGATGATAAAATAATAGTTTGGTATCTTGCAGCATATCTGATGATTGAGCCAGGAGGTGAATAGTGGTAGGTGAATAGAGTTAGAAAAATTTTGACGTAACAACGTCTTATAATTCGATGGAGCCGGCTGCACGTACGAAAAAACATGACTCATGCGGCGTTACCTCGCTCTGAGGCGTTCCATTTAAGGCTTGAAGTGCAAGCGAGAGCGCAAAACGAGCGACAAAGAGGCACAATCGGCCTCCGCGTTCGGCAGCGTTCGACATCTGTCTCTCTCCTACTTGAGTGAATTTTCTTTTGAAAAATGAAACCATTCGATTAGTATTTTCTTATGACGTTGTCACGTTCAACTATCGTCAGTAAACCGACTTTACAGACAACCGATTTTTTTTTTTAGTTTATAAGAAGGTTCGACATTAAAGCGATATGTTGTCCTACATAAGCTTTGAGTTCTTTATAAATCTATATCCGTATCATAACCACTGCACCTCAAATAATACATCTAGATCATAATATTTTCTAGGTGATCTAGTCAGGCCATAGGTAGTGGTAAAAAGAAAGCACTACTTACATAATATGTTGTTTAGGTTACAGATTTATTGTTAACACATATATTATACTCATATATTATTTACCTGTATAATCTCACAGTAATTTTTTTACCTGTGAAGTAAGCGAAATTTAAACATTGATACTAGTCTGATAGTACGCTCAAATAAGATACATGTGTGTTTAATAATGTAGGCAATTACTTTGTCCTAGATTGCAACGGTTTAGAAGCAATCACAAAATTTTTAATTATGACAACAAACACGCTACCTTCTTATCGCTTACATTCTCAATTAACCCAACATATTATTTAAGCTAATATGAAAATTGGCGAACTAATAATACAGGCCAAGCACGTTCTGATCTGCCCGTCCGTCCCCCCACTCGCGTAATTAAACTTACAAACGATATGCCGAATGTTTCTCAAAGATTGGGACGCGGTTCTAATACGTTTCTTCGTTTGTAAACGGCCTTATTTTAAGTTTAGCCGATTTAAAGTCTGAGAACAGATTTGGTTTATCTTGAAATGAAAGTTTAAATTTTACGGCTGTTTGTACTTAGTATTCGTTACTATGTTATTGGTGTTTTTAAAGTATTGTTACAACTTAAATAATGGTTAGAAACTTTAAGATATTTTAGTGTTATTACCATTAATGGGACTTAAAAGACGGTTTGTTTTTGTACACACACTTTGAACTTCCTGAAGTTCGACTAACTAATAACCTAAGAATAGGGTAATCATCATGCATCAAGCAACTTCTTCTGAATAATACTAGAAGAAAAAATAGAAGGCAAAAGAAAACGAGGATAGCCTAGATCAACATACATACAGCTAGTGAAGGAGAAAGGAGTCATGGCCTATCAAGAGGTTAAACAAACTTCAGGAAATAGAGAGGAGAGGCGATTGCTCCACCGACAAGATCTTGGCTCTTAAATTGAGAGACCAGATTATTGGCATCATTTGTGTACATATCTATAAACTTACATAAGATACAAAATATATCTATGTTACATGCATACCTAAGCCATCGCGTTGATTCGAGCTTGTAACTCCTGAGTTGCAGGGATCATGGTCGACGGTAGTCACTGTCCTTCAGGGGACCCGTCTGCTCATTTGCTGCTTCCCCTATAACATAAAAAAGGCAATCTTTGAAAGGAGGGGCATACAGCCCAACAGTTAATGTTGAAAAGATTTATATTTTTGTAAGTACATAGCGGATTAGGACTGCCACGAGAACTTTTATTGTGCTATGAAAAATCATTAGTTACTACGTAGTTCGCCATATATTCGCTAGATGGCACTAAAGACAATTTTATTACATTATTTGATTTAACTGTACTTCGACACAGATGCAGTTTCATTTCATTCAGAATCAGATGATTGATTTAAAAAAGTTAAATGGGTACCTAATTTCAAAGACCTTACCAAGTAAGTTTTTAGCATTTTAAAATAGACTTATCCCTTAAAGACTGTCTGCTGTCGAGCCTGGTATGTTTGTGATGAAGTATGGCTCTCCCGCCATTAATTAGCTCCTAGAAAACGTTTCAATATCTAACCCCTAATACTTGGAAGATAAATTTGTCAATTTGGTTTTGGTTAAACAGTATCCGAACTGGCGAAAATATTGTTTAATTAACATAAATTGACAAACTGTTTAGTTGAAAAATTGTTCTCATGAAATCAGTTAAGAACGATGAGAAAAATCATCCCACGTATTCTTCAAACAGCTAAATTTCTAATGTAATGTTTAATTCATTAAAACAAAACATTTAATGTTGACAACTCCACAGTTTTTGTAATTCAAAACGCAAACTCCTGCCGCAAACTTAAGTATTCATAAATATATTTTTTTTCCCTTATTTCCACTCCTATTTCTTTCTCAAGCCTGTAAAGCTACATATTCATAGAGACAGTATTCCAGCGTTTCATGTTTTAGTTTGTGTAGTTGGTACAACACAAGTTTATAACAAATTCAGAAACCGTCTGGTAAGTAATAGGTACTGTGTACTTACTATTTTGCTCTTGGATAGATTCCCATCTTGAACTCATCTGTTGTAGAATCTGGCTCGGTGACGTCATCGTATCTGTAAATACGTAGTATAAAAGGGTATGACAAAAAGGCATCTGATCCTAAACTAGGCAGAGCATGTGCTTTGGTGACCAGACTGCTTATAAACATACTTTTACATTTTTACGGTGACGGATTAAGAATACAGAGTGTCACCACCCCTATTCATTCCGTGGGTGTCGTAAGAGGCGACTACAGCACTGCAAAGAGAAGAAACACTTGAAACAGACCCTATACCAAACCCGTCTGGCCAGCTTGGTATATTAGGCCAAAACCTCCTTTCCAAGGAGAGGCCTATGTTCAGCAGTGGACTAGTAAAGGCTGTTGATGTGATATTTTTGAATAGATATATATCATAGATAAATTACACCCAGACACAGAACAAATGACCGTGCTCATTACACAACTTTTAGTCCTGGGTGGGTGGGAATTGAACCCATGACCAGTCTGGGCCAACCACTAGACCAACAGGCCGCAAAAATCAGATCATTCTAAATTGACGAAAAACGTCGGCTAGGCATGGAGAGAAAATAAACTCAAACAAAAAACTCAAGACCGAATCAAAACGGAGGTTTTTATGATATAGAGTGGTAAACAAGCAGACGGGTTACCTGATGATAAGTGACTACCGCCGCCCATAGACAAACATCTGCAACTAAGAGTCAGAAATGAGTTGCCGCCTCTTGAGTCGCCCCAGAATCATTAGGGGAGGTTGGTTTGAGCTCCGGTATTCTCACTAACTTGGTGCAAAGTAACGAAAGATTACTCAACACCTGGTTTTCTGTGCGTTTGTTCTATCACTCCGGTAGAGACGGCC